TACCTACCCACACACAACCAGTACATGTACCTATATACCCACACATAACCAATACCTACCCACACATATCCAGTACATACAGTGTTCCTATACACAGCCTGCAGTATTACCAACTTTTTATGATTCATCACTAACATCATCTCAGTCATTCACAAACCTTACTATCAATATGTCATATTGCACAACCAGTATTATCACTAAGTCATCGTCATCATCTAGGTCATCCACATCTCTTACTATTAATACCCATACAAACCCAGTATTACAAACCTTTCATCAGAGTCATCATCATCATCATCATCATCATCAACTGGATCATCTGCATCAAGATTTGGTGCATGTTCAAGTCTGGCTCTTTTAACTTGTTCAGCAGTACCTCCTCTGCCACTCTTCTCCTTTGCTCGCTCTCTCTGAGCCAAATGTTCTTTCTCTTCGAGTTCCTTTCTCAAGTCACGGCTACGAACCTCATCTATGGTATCCTGGCCAACTTGCCTGTCATGTATATAAAATATTCGAATGATGAATGACTAAATTTACATGCTAACATATGCTTCAACAAATAAAGTAAACAACAAAAACACAATTCTAAAAACGCAACAAGTCAATGTTACTTCATATTCGTTTAAAGATGGCCTTAAAGTATTACAATAAGACACGTGAAATATTCTGTTTCGTACCTATGTTTGAGTTTATTGTGTGACGGCAAGTCTCGACTGGAATACTGCTTGGATAGAGCCGATAAATCACCTTCTCCTTTACCTCTACCGCCCCTCGCTGTGTCCCATGTCGGTCTGGCAGCTGTAGTCATTTTCTAAATAGAAATAATTAAAGAAAACTAGAGGACTTTTTACAAGTCTTTCTACTTTCTTCCTTCGTTTTACCAATATGGCGTCCTTAGGCTCACACGCATCTGTTTTAGATCGAGTCCGCTGGCCTATCCAGAACATTTTAAGGTAGCAGCAAACAACCTATTTCCATGACAACGGAGTCCTCGTCTGATCCTAAAGATGTAAATGAGTGCCTATGGAATGGTTTATACCTTAAGTGGTAGAAATAGAACACTTTCAATATTTTAAAATGGCCAACAGTTACATAAATGTAACTCACATGTTAGTTTTTGCAGAGGGAAGAAAATTGGATATCCTGAAGAAAAACCCCATGGCAAGAGAGATTAACACTACAAACAAACTAATCTCACATATGTGTCTCAGCCAGAAAATCAATCCGTGACATAAGGTGTTAACGGCGGCAGCAGTGAAATACAGCACCCGAGCAGCAAATGTAACACCCATGTATCAATTGGTGTCAAATGCTCTTCAATACTGATTATCATCGCTTTCTAAGTTTTTATTATAAATATCAATTAGAATAATTATAATATTTCATTTTTTCATTTGCCATTATTTAATTTTTAAATTTGCTCATCCAAAAGGAGTATTGCTTAGTGTTGCTTAGAAACATTTGTCAGATATGCAATAGTAACTGTGCACTAGCTTTACGCCCACCCCAACCAGCAAATCTATGCCAGCCCTTCTCCAGATTGAAGGTTTGGTTTAAAAAACATATTCTGCATGCAGGCGGAGGACTGCATGTCGCACAGATGTACATCCTACATACTGTCATAAAGTAAAGTCAAAAATACTGAAGAAATACTTGGATTTGCAAAGCACAGTATAAAATACTACATTCAGGCATCAAGTCTGGCTCACTCAAGCAACATAAATGTAAATGCATGCAAGCGATGTTCACACGTGAAATGCAAATATAATTGATCATATTACTGCAATTATTTTCATAAACATGCAAACCCTGTGTCTTTGAGCTGCAAGCTGAATTTTGTTTTTTTTTGCTGCTGTCAATCAAACCTAATCAGTCAATACCTTTTTATATTTTTGACTTGCCGCAGCAAAAAACCAAATTTCAGTGTGCAACTCGCATACAGAGTTCAGATGTTTATGAAAATTGCAGTAAGATATAAGCATGGACTGTACATGTAGAGCTGCTTTACATCAAAAAATGTTGGTCTTGCATTTGTGTTACTCTATTCATGCATAATGTTGCTTATGTTTGCAATCATAAACACATGTCCATACACTGAAAATGCAAATTGAAAATGCAAGCAAAAATGAAATGAAAAAGCCTCCATTTCTTGAATAATAATTTGAATTTGTGTTTGCTTTAATTGCCAACAGTAGTTCACACATAATTTTAATTGTTTGCTTTTGCATTTGTATTTGCATTGCTCATGTGAATCAGGTTTAACAGTTGGAGGCACATGGCTTACTTTTGATGGCATTTCAAGAGATTAAAAAATGTGTCTATTGATACATGTGTTCCTCTTAGCTTATGTATAATAAAATAAGATTATCACAATTAAGAAAAGTGTTAATAATTTTCTCCTTTGCTTCAACAATTTTCTTGCAATTAACGCCTTAAAATTGCAATTGTCACCTTATCTTCAACTACTTCACACAAAGTTCTTTATATTCCTAAACATACAAATAAATAAAGCACCTAAGAAAAATATTCTATAATTCATTCCGGAAGCAGGATGCTTTAGTCACACCCCTCTGCTAAAAGCAACTGTCAAAAAATTGCCTTTAATCTCATCCTATAAAGCAGTGTTTTTTAAATATTCAAACTTAAAAGATGCATTATAAACGATAAAATAAACTACATTGTGTTGAAAACTGAAAACACGTTTATGTGTGAACATAATCACATATAAAAACAATTGTATCCTGTTTAATTTTAGAATCAATATTTCACTTTGGGATCGGATATATGATAAAATGCAGATAAAAAGTCTTTAAAAATTCATTGAAAAATTTCGAAAGGTACTTGCTCTCATATAAGCAGAATACGTCTGGTGAAAACTAAAAATATTTTTAACATCAAGAACTAGAGATAGAATCAGGTGGATTTAGGAGCTGATCTGGTAGTGCCATCCTCGCCATTCTCATAGATCCCAGCGATCACACCTTTTATTACGGTATCTGGAATACAATTCCAATCTTCGATAAAATTCTTCTCTCTCTGATAAAAATGAATTACAGGATCTTTAGTAAATTGTAATAAATGTTGATGTGTAATCTGTGAAACAGCGTAATCCTCTGCATCCAGATCATCAGCTGAGGACGTTCTTGGTCGAGTTGGTGTAGTAACTGGTAATCGAGTTTCAAAAAACTCTGACAAAATATCGTAGATCTCAAATGTCCCAATTAATTCTTGAAGGTATCGTTCAAGCCCTTCGCGTCGTGTCTCCAATAACTTAGTCCCTTTGTTCATCAACGTCTTTGGAGGAAGACTCGGGGTGTAAATGATTTTCCGCAACCTTTTGTCCAGTTTGGAGAAGTGGYTATACCTCTTCTCGATGACATTACTCGCTCCTGGTTTTGCAACATGAATTTCAAACACCGTGTATTCCCCTTTATCATCCCTAACTTTACGGTATCTTGGAATAGATATAATAATCATTGTTCCTCGTATTCATATGAACTATTCACGTCATGATCCTAGCTATTTAGGCTGAAAATAGCCATGAAGTACCGCTACATAAATCACTAAACGTAACGACGTTAAGTAAATATTGTACTCAACTAGAAGGGGCTTGGGACTGTGGCAAATCAACTCCCCAGCCCCTCCCGTATTAAAAACAATCACGAACTCGAAGTTAAACTAATTATTGCATTATTGAAGCTTTTAAGTAATATTTAGGTGTTTTCTTAGCGAAATTGAAGATTAAAGGATATTCGTTTGTAGTYATGAATTAATTCGTTTCTAAAAGGGATTGCGTTATTTTGTTTTAGGGGAGGGGTRGGTGGATGTTTTCGCTGAGTGTAAATACCGTAGGCTCAAGCATCCTCATGCATAGAACCCGCGAATGAAGCCAGGGCGGTTGATAGAAGAATTACTGTGATGAGAGGAAATGGTAAGATTRAAAACCACCTTTTACTGTTCTCTGCGCTGCAATACTCCATCCCTTACCAACYCCACAACCTTCCTGGACTAATGAATTCCCCATTGTGTGTTCTACAGCACAGATTAAAGTCCTCTCAACGTGAAAAAGTCAGGCAGTTTATTGCCTTCACTGAGACCAACGAAAAAACAGCAATAACTTGTTTGAACCAACATGAGTGGCGGCTGGACATTGCCTCAGATAATTATTTCCAAAACCCAGAACGCTACTACACGGAATCTAGAGTTGCAGTGGATAAAAAGAAGATAGTACACTTGTTTGATCGCTATAAGGGTAAGAAGTTCTGACAAACAGAACGAGTCAGTGTTGGACATCATATATATATCTCGAGTACAAGTTTGCATTGCAAAGGAAAATTTCTCGTACAAGGTCATGACTTTGAAGGTTGATTATGTAAACTGTAATATCTTTAACAATAGCTATAATACTTGTGCTCTTGATAATTGGTTTGAGTATTTTTTTCGTTGAACTTGGGCTAGTTGACATTCACAATGTTTCCTTGTCACTTGTGAACACTCTATTTCCGTTGATAACAACAACTCGTATTTTAAACCAACAATTCTTCGCCAATATTAAATTAAAAAATAGATTCTTTGAGACAAGACGAATGGGAAACAACTCTTTACGACGTAAGAGTGTTATTATTATTCTCAGCTTTGAGAATGGCTTGGAATTTTTGCTCCAAAATAAGGCTAATTGGAGAATAGTGATCTACAATATGAGTAAAGTAAACCTTATAGTAATTTTTTATTCAAGAATTGCAAATTGTTCCGCTTCAGTACCGCATCATTACGGCTCTAAATCAAGTTTTTTGAAGTCTTTGAAAGATTTCCTTGTTGATATGTACAGATCTATAGATTTTTCAGAAATTATTATGAACCAATTTTACAGGTTTAAATTTCAGATCATCAAAACAAAAGTCTGACAGTAGTAACTGCTAGTAGTGATTGAACAGCAGTTGATGAGTCCAATTAATCATTGCTAGATTTAGCAAATGCTGATACATATCTGTGGTGAGGTTCTTATTTCAAATCACATATCCACTGATTTCTAATCTTGCAGTGCCTCTTTATGATGCAATGAGCCTTATGTACCCATGACATAGGATTACAATAGTCTTGGTATATACAGATTCCAACACACATACTTTTAGCTATATTATCTAGAGAGTACTAAGATTAAACATCTATTAAAGTAGTTACGAAGGTGCAAGACTTTATTATAACCATTACAAATGCCGAAAGAAGTATTACTGGTACCTAGTGTTCAGTGCTAATAGCAAGCACCAGTTTAGAGTGATGAAGCTTTAAGTTTCCTTACAGGTTAGGCAAGGAAATGGAAAGTATTCTCATTTACCAATGCTCTCTYTTTTCCTTGTAATGTTATGAACATTCAGATACAACTGTTTTCAAAACCACCAATTAGCTCTCTCTACATCCAGTAATATTATATGGAATGAAGCAAATAGCTCACTTGAAAGATATGCTTCGCTTGTCAGGCACAAATGTCCCAGTACGAGTAGTCATGCTAAATTAATTTTGATTTTTTCTYCCATCACGAATCACTGAGCATTATGCACAAAGCCTCACATTGAATCCTTTGTGCATGACAAAYGAAGCATATCTCAGAAGTGGGCTATTGACTTAGCATTTTTGTGCATGTATCATTCCATAATYATTATCAAKAACTCTAAGCTCTGAGAGGTAGTYRAGAATGATCTCCAGTAGTGGGTTTATTCATATTAATAGAACTTCATCCATAACTTACTCAATCCATAACTTCAAATTAATTCCATATTCCGGACCGAAAGTTCAATCATTCTCATCTAACTCTACACACACAAAATACAACACCAGCACAAAATACCCTATGTGACTAACATCAATATAAATGTTTGATTTCATCAACATATTGACTTTCACGACTCTGCAGTACACACATGCTATCCTTGAGCCCCTATTTTTTGTATTTGAGGTAAAGATAGTGTCCTCCATAGTACGAGGGGATGAAAAACTATAAGCAAAAATGCAGTACCATAGTTTTTGAGCATCTTTATTTTCACCCTTCACTTACAGTGGGATRGCCGACCCAACAAGTTTTAAATCTCGAATTCACAAACCACTTTTCGGATGTTAAATAACATGCTGATGAGGAATTCTGGAGTTTAAACTGTTTGTCGTTCACTCCCGATCACACACACACACACACACACACACACACACACAAAGTAAAATATGTGCAAATTTGGGCAGAACAGATTCTATTGTTCAAATACTCGATCGTGATCGGCTAATTTGTATGAAAATTTGTCTGGGTGGCCTTGGTTGGTATAGTCACGAATCCATAGTCACACTAAAATCTAAATTGAGCTCCCTGTGGTTGTATTGTTAACTGAAATATCGTTCCTCAACAGAACATGGGGAAGAAGACAAAATTTTGGCTGAAGGAATAGGCCATTTTTTAGAAGACTTAAACTTAGATCCTGCTAGCCTCAAAGTTCTGATTATAGCATGGAAATTTAGAGCAGCCACTCAATGTGAATTTACAAGGAAAGAATTTACAGAAGGAATGACAGAACTCAAGTGAGTATTGCCTTATTTTTTCCTCTTCCATATACACCTATTTCAGTAAAAAAGGTTGTTGGTACCAAAGAAAATAGGCAATAGGTCATTCCAAGATGGAAAGAAATTGTGGACATACACCTATAAAAAATTAATTTAACACAAATAAGAAATTTTCTGTTGACTCGAAACAACACTGTCTTTCTCTCCACTAACCTACRTGTTCTGGATGAGAATAATAATGATGATAATAAAACACAAATCGTTCCAGCTATCCTTGGATCTTGAAATGATCTATCTTCTATTTTCTTTGGCTCCRACAAACGTTTTTTGAAAAAGGGGCATGTTAGAGTAGACTTAATGAGTGGAAAACTTACTTGTTGCTATGGAGACAAGGGTGGTGCCCCAGGTTGAGTTCTCTTGGTTATCTTGCCAGATCTTGGATCTGGAAGAATCTTTCAAAATCTTGCAGAATCTTGCATTGAATGTTCTATGATCTTGAAAATACAAGATCTTTGAAGAGTTTAGGAGAAGATGTTTCCAAGATCATGGCTTTTTGCAACTTAAGTTTTTAAGAAAAAAACTTGTATGATATTGGTTATGCCAAGATCATGGAAAGATTCTCATCAGGATCTTGTCATGTTCATGCCTTTATCCTGGCAAGAATCTTGTCATGATCTTGCAAGCCTGATCTTACATGAATCTTATTAAGATGTTCAACCTGGGGCAGCATTTTGGGGTGTGTAGTACCAAGGGTTTTTCAGGGCCTTAACCAAAAGACCTTTGTAGGCATCTGCTATTAAGTTTGTGAGTATAGTCTGATCAATTAACTGCCACCCGGTTAGCTCAGTTGGTAAGAACGTTGGTCTGTTATGCAAAAGGTCAAGCTTTAAGCCTCGGCTGGACCAACACCCAGGGTCTCAAAATAACTGAGGAGAAGGTGCTGCCTTTGTAATTACATCTGCAATRGTTAGGCCTTCAAGTGGCTTGGACGACCACTTTAAATGGCGATCCTTACTAATAACCACCTCTTGTTCATAACTCACTGTAAAGTGCTTTTGAACATATCCATATGTAAAAGAACGCTATATAAAAATCATRATTAATCACAAATCAATATTAGAATATGTTGGCTGTCAAGCAATGCCGCTGTGTTGCTAAGTGATTAAGAGAGGGTGGAGCTTGCATTTTCATTTGACAAAAATTTATGTCTACAATAATCTATTTCATTGTCTGCTGTAAATCAAGACTGCCCAACTAGAAATATTAATATTACTTGTAAACAAGGATTTCTAAGAATTTTCAAATTTCATAGCCAATAAAATATTTYGATTAAAATCCATACTTTGATTCAGCATCAAGTTGTGGAAAAGTCTTTAAGGAGGGAACAAACTCTTTATTCCAATTATTTTTGTATGGGAATTCCCATTATAACATAAATTTCTCTAAAAGGAAGATTTCTAGATATATTCTGAGACTAGTACATATTAATCTAAAATGGATATATTGGTATTTTCTGCAGTTGTGATTCCATTGAAAAACTGAAGAACAAACTCCCATCACTAGAATTAGAGTTGAAAGACCAATTAAAGTTTAAAGATCTTTATCAATTTACTTTCAACTTTGCCAAAAATCCTGGACAGAAAAGTTTAGGTAAGTTACAAAATGTGAATGGTTACTGCTTTGTTTTATGATCATTATGTAATATTATTGGACAAATGCTGGTATAAACATTCTCACTGATTTTATAAAACACCATTATTTTAAATTTAGCTTATTCAAAAAGAAAATGTACTAAGAAAAGGAATTTCTAGTATTGCTGGTTTTTAATCATTCCCAAAGAATGTAATTACAAAACACACGTCGGCCATGTTGGAGGATATGACAAAAGAGACTAATGACGAATCTTTTGTCAAATTCATTCAACATGGTGGCCGTGAAAATCATCAATATGCATACTTGTAACCATCATAGGCACCATTTGATTCTATTTTTAGAATCAATCATAGGGGTTTTTTTGGCTTGCACATACTGTACACGCTCTATATTGATATGCTGATTGCTTGTGTTTTCTTGAAAAATACATGCAAACATGAGCAGACAGTGTAGAGCCCATGCAGTATGCACGCACA